CAAAGCAGCCATTTTCTCCAGGGGAGCTGATCTCTGTCAGCTGGAGATCAGTTGTAAAAGCGGGAGATCCCCAGGCCCCACCTGGAGGCTGGCAACCCTAAGTGTGTGTGTGGGGGGAGAAACCTGAAGGGCAAACACAGTTAACTTGTAAAGTAGGTCCGCTGTGATGAAACCCAGGTGAACTCTGAAGTAAGATACCTAACATAACCCCCTTCCCAACATTAGTAAGAGATTAGCCTACAGTTTGCTTCTCCCAGCATAAATAAAACTACTCCCCACTTTCTATTCTTTCCTTCCACTAAAGAGGAGGGATATCTTGACAAAACATAACTGCTTGATAAAAAATATAGGAGAGTCCAGAAAGCAACAGGAAGTGGAGCTCAGAGCAAGGTGATCCATGGGTGCCAGGACTACAAGATCTTCCCCACTCTCCCCTCCCCTCCCCTCCCCATTGGAGCCATTTCCAGTCCAGGGAAAGTTTATTCCCAGGGTTGAGGGACTTGCCTGTACTAACAGTCAGCTGTAATGCAGAGGGGAAATGGGATGAAATTGTTCCTTTTTCTCTTCTATGAGCTTCTATAAACTATTTGTGGACTCCTATAAACTATTTGTGCTATCCAAACCTTTATATTTATCTGGGTCTATCAGCTTTATTGATATTACATTGTAAGTATTTCCCCTTCTTTTTCTAGATTCATTTTGTAATTTATTTATAAACAACAATTTAAAAAGAAATATCAATTTATCACTATCAGCATACCATGGTATCTCCTTAGTTTGTTCTGCACAAGCAAGCCTTTCACTTTTTTAATCAGCTCCTCTCTAGTCTTCTCCAGATGCTTTCTTTCTGCCTTGATAGGTTGCAACTGCCTATTTAACTCATTTCCTGATGAAAAGAAATCCAATATGCAGCACATTTGTGAAGATTAAAGCTGGGAACAGCCTACCATAAGCAATTCTGAGTTTGTAGTGCTTTTCTTAAGAAAAGGGGGGGAAATCTGTAGGGTTGCTATTGGCCAACCCCTGAGGGGTTTACAACAAAGAGGTTCTCACTCACGCAAAGAAATTTAAAATATTACATTAAGGAACATCCACATGTTTAAAGGAGGGCAGGTAGCATTATAGAGTGTTCTGGTTTGGAGTATCTGATCCCTACATGCCACCTGGCATCCATGCACACATCCCACAAGGATACCCTTATTCACACAGCAAATGCTGGAAACTGCAGAGAAGAAGTGGTGTTGAGTCGACACACAAAACCACACATTGCAGCTTATCTCCGACTCCTCTAGTATTTTATCCATCGTTTCAACTGGAATTGTGAGATGCTATGTAGACATGCCATCTTAAGCATTTGTTGCTAATGTTGTTAGAAAAAGAACAAGGAGGAGACTGCAAGGACCTGCAGAGGGCAACTCTCCTGCTCTCCTCCTATGGCTTTGTTTTACAGAAACCAAGGCTCAGCATACTGTTGTGGTTGCCTACCCAAAAGGCTACTGAGAGCTCAGTAAGCACTGTTTTCTTAGTCATAGGTGTTGTTGCTATTATTTGTGGAAGTTTTAATCCCCCACTTGTATTTTTTTTTTTTAGATTTCAGATTTTTTAAGCAAACTTGTAGTTCTTTCAGGTTTGAACAGAAATCCCCACATCTGTCTCTTGCTCCATTTTGCAGATCTATTAATCCAGACTCCAGGGCTCAGTTTGGAATTATATATATGACAAGTGGGGAGTTCCAGTCTTTCTGCAGCCTGCTGAAAGGGGGGGGGGGGGCTGTGCTGGCTCATCCAGTGCAGCTCCCAGCGAGCCAATAGAGACTTCCTCCCTCACCGTCGCTCTCTGCTGCTGACCTGGAAGAGCCAGCACAGTCTCCCCTCCCCCCCCAACTTCTCTGCGACTCAATGAAGAGCTGGGGGGGAAACTGTGCTGGCTTGCCCAGAGCTGCTCTGGGTGAGCCATAGACAGCAGCAGGGGGAGTCTCTACTGGCTTACCCAGAGGTTCTCTGAGCAAGCCAATAGAGACTCCCCCCTCCCACCACTTTCTGCAGCTCATTCAGCTCCAGATGAGCCACAGAGAGTGAGTCTCTGTGTCTCCCAGCAGTCTCCCGGCAGACTTCCCTCCCAGGCTGCTGCAACTCCACCACTGGGGCCAGCACAGCTCCGGGGCTGCCCTGCTGCCAGGCGCTACGTGGCTCCCAGCCCACCAGGCCACCACCAGGCCCAGCATGGCTCCTGGGCTGCCGCACCACCAGAGGTAGTTGTGTTTTCTGTGCTTGTGCAGATAATGCTTTTTAAATTTTGGATGGAATTTAATCCCCCCTTGTATTTTTTTAAATATTTCAGATTTTTCTGCACACCCTGAGAGTCCCCCAAGTGTGCAGAAAGATCTGTTTAGCCTCTGTGTGGCCCTGATCTGCAGATTTAACTGTCTGCAGATGGGCCCACGGGTGGCTATTAGAATATAAGATGAGTCATTTTCAAATGATGTTTAAAATCCTAAATTAGAATCTATTGGGAACAACTGCAACCAAAAATAACTAGGAACTGGGCAAGTTTCTGGATTGTTTATAGTTTGTATCACAATGTTTAGTGATGTAGCTGAACAGATTAACTTTGCTGCTGCAAACATGGAATTAACCCTATTTTCGCCTCACTTACTCATTCAGGGATCAGTTAGCCAAAAAAAAGGCAGGCATTAGGGTATTGGGATTAATGCCTCTGAAAACTGCTGTCAGTTACAAATGGTGAATTAAAGGCTCCCTGATCATGAAGAGTTCTCAGAAGACTTGTTGAAGGAATGGATTGGGTTATTGGCTTTAAGCAAATTTACTTAATAGGTGAGGCAGCAAAAGCTCTCTAACCCCAGTGCTGTAAAATGTTGTGATTTTTAATCTCAAACCATTTAAACCATGTTGTTAATACAAAGTTCATGTACTTTTAACTTAGCATAAAAATTTATTTCCATATGATTTCATGGAAGGATTTACTTACCCTCTGTTGAAAATACTCTGTTGGGAGTTTGAGGTCTATTTATACACAGAGCCAGCAGAGGTGGAGTAGGAGGTTGAAGATACTGGCTTGGATAAGTAAAATTATCTATGTTATTCTCATCAGCCTAGGACCAAATAAAAGTTATATGATGTTATTCCTATTATTCATGAAATAGGAGACACTAGCTGAATCCAAAAGAAAGGGTAACTCCAGCCTACTCTTCATCTAATGTTGAAACATCCTATTTATTGAAAATCATTTGACAAGGACCTATGCATATCTATCACAGAATCTCCACAAGGTATTTTGTGGCATATCCTAGGGCACACTAGTCTTGTGGACTTCTGTCTAGGCAAGCTGGACTTCACCATTGCTCTGTGGGACTTAGGGTATCCCTCATCACGGATATTTATCTGTCCCCTTTTATTACTGTCCTCAGCCAGTTGGTGAAGACTTTTTCGTTTCCTCTGATGCTCCTGCAATTATCTCTGCTCCCTGTCCTATATTTTTAATTGGTGTACCTCTGTCTTTCTATTTTTAGTTGTTGGAAACATTGGTGGCCCTGACTGGGCTGAAAGGTGAGATATAAATCTTATAAATTAATAAAGAAATATAGCTATAGTTCCATGTTACTGTTCCAGTTTTCAATCGGAAAGAACAAAGCTCAACGTAGGAACTATGATAATAACCGGCTTTGGCCCCCTCATGTTTTTCACTGGATCCTTGAAAAACATACCTGGTTATCCTGCATGCCACCAGTGTCAGCAGCAGACTTGGTAATATCAGGATGCTGTTGGCTAAAGATGAAACCAAAGTACACTGTAACAACTGCATTAAAACTAACAATCCTAATTAAATTTGTTGAAAAGGCTAGTGGGTCTAGCAAAGAATACACCGGGGTGGCAGGTTTCTTTGTTTCAGGGTGGGGAAACTAGCTGATGACAAATTGGGCAAGGCACAGTAATCTGAGGAAGCAACCATCTCACATACAGGAAGAGAGATTATGAGAACAAATTCATATGTATAATTACATTTGCCTGAAAACTAATTTACATGTTTACTTTTTCCATATTAAGAATTCTCAGCATGATTTTAAAGAACAGTTAACACTGTCAGGAAAGGATATTTCATTACCTTTTCTTGCTGTGTAAATATTCCTGATCTCTGTCTTCCAAGGATTCTGGGATCCCAGAATCTCCTGTGGTACGTCTTCCTTTTGCATTGTTGTCTCCATCTTCTGTATTTGCATCTAAAAGTATAGAGAGTTCTTCTGCATCATACAAAGGTCAATATATAGCAATCTAACAATATTATTTTATTAGGGTCATAAAATCTGGCTGAAAATGACCCTCCAAAATGACTTGAAGAACTGGGAATGTGCTGCAGGTTTGTGTGCGCTGCGTCTCCCCTCTTTTGTTTCAATTCCATCCTCCATTTTAAGGTAGCTATAGCCTTGGTTTGCTGTGATTCTAAACAGGGCAACTATGGTTAGCTCTAACCTACAACCCATAATTCGTAAACATACTTAAACAATTATTTTAAACAGTGAGGTATAGGTTACTGCAAACCATAATTTCCTACAAAGTCCAAATCAAACTATTATAGTTAGCTAGCCTCCAAACCATGCTTGCAAATCCATTTCAAGCTATGGATTCAAATAATTACCTGCCTGTGGTGGGGAATTACCAGCCCCCAGCCCCAATTTCCTGCCAATGAGGAATAGAGAAGCAGGAAGGAAAAAATGGCTTCCATATAGTGACACTCTAGAAATTTCTGTGGTAAAGACCATAGAGACTGGGGAGACAACTAAGGGCATCACCCAGAAGCAACATCATATCCTCCCCAAACAGACACCACCCCCAAATCTCCCAGCATTTCTCTATGCTGTGTGGGTAACCCTGATAGATATGCAGAAAAATAAGCATTGAGTGAAACACTCGCCGTCTACAAAAGGTCAAAGGTTTCCTTAAGGCAATACCTGCCATAACTCTGGCTGAAATGTACTACAATCAGTATGTGTAAATTCTGAATGTATCTGTCTGAAATAAACATGAACATTTCCAAAATAGGTGAGAGAGCAAGAATACTATTAGTTGTCCAACATTCAAGAGTCTAGCAACAAGAAAGGTGCAAGGGGGAAGAGGAAAACTGGGGGGGGGGGGGGAATCCAGGACATAAGGACCCAGGACCCAGTCTATTGATTCATCACCTCTTTTTAAAGTGTTGTGGTCAGTACTGTCCTCTCCCTTACCACTCCCTTTCCCCCCTTATTAAGGCAAGCAATGGTAACTTTTGGCTTCTGCTTAGTTCTAACACAAGAATCCTGGTTATCTCTCTTTAAAGTAATCTACAATGATGGAAAATCTTCTACTAAAACTGCCCACATATGACTGCTGGACAAGTTTCAGGGACACCAAGAGATTTGTACAAAGGATTTAATATCAATCAATACAAGTCTTTGCATGCACATGTTTTGGTGATATTTCCCTGCACCTGAAAGATCAGCATTATGTTTTATCATTAATCATAGGTATGCCAGCTTTTTAGAAAAGAGAGATTGTGGAAGTCAAAGCTGTATATTTGTTCATGCTAACTTCAAATCTGAATGCAAAGAAATACAGAACATAACACTGATGTAGGAAAATAAAGTGTACCTTTGGTCTTAGGTTGGATAAGATTTACTTCAGTTTTATCTTGGTCACTCTTCTGATTTACGTGAGGAACAGTTTCATATTTCTTACCATTTCTGGGAGAGGTTTGCCTTCTTAGGGCTTGTCTTCGAGGCTTTCTTTGAGGAGCTTTCACTGATGATAATTTTTTTACAGAATTTTGTTCTTCAAGGTTTAAATTAGGCAGTATACAAGAAGTAGTAATGGATTCCTGTTGGTCTATGTTAGAATGGATTTCTTCTCCAAAAAAAGGACAATAGTATATATTAAGATACACTGAAATATGTCATGTATACTTTGGAATTAGGTTTGCCAAGTCCCCCTGAGGGGCGGGGAAACCCCTGCCCAAGAGGCCCGTTACCCGCCGCCGGTGGATCGGGCCCCGGGGGGAACCCCACCCCCAAAGCACGCGACGAGCCTGGCGTCAGCACGTCACCCGGAAGTGATGCAGTTGCGTTGGGCGCGTTGGGGGTGGGGCTGCGGTCATCCGAGGGAAAACTATGGTTTTCCCTCGGATGATTGTGGCCCCGCCCCCGGCATGCCCGACGTGGTTGTGTCACTTCCGGGTGACATAATTGTGGCGCGCGCGCACTTTGCACGCGCACACACACTCCCAGAGCAGCGCTGGTGTCCCCCGCTCTACATACAATAAGGACTTGGCAACCCTATTTGGAATATTATAGGTTATGATGATCACTATGTAAATGTATGCTTTTCTGTTACAGGTGATATTCTTAGAGACGCTTATAAATACTAAGGTCCCGTTCACACGAGGGGATTTGGGCCAGTAGCGGGACGGTTCAGGGGCGGAGCAAATGGCCGCGATCACACCACAACATCTGGGAAGCGTAGTGCTTCCGTCCCCGAACTGGCCCATCCACGCGATAAACCGCTCCAAGTTGGAACCACCTACCAAGGTGGTTCATCCCAATGGTGCGCCGCAAACCGGGAGTCTGATTGCCGGCGCTCCAACATGCGCAGTTCGGCTGGCTCGCCGTCCGATCTGTGTTTTCTCCCCGGCGTCTGATCATGCCGGGGAGAAAGGCGGCGCGGCCAGGGGATCCGTGGGATCCCGCCGCGCCGTTTCAACTTTGGCGCGGCTTTTAAAAGCCACGCTTTTTGGCGGCTTTTCCCCTGCCGTGTGGCAGGGGCCAAAGTCTACTTTCTGTTGCCACATTCTAGGCAAAAACAAAGTTAAGAGAAACAACAGATGTATCCAAGTCACTAATTCAAAATTAAAAGAGCAATAACGAATCACTTATAGGCACTGCCATAAAATATGCCGTGTAAGACCAAAGTAGCATTGGCCTATCACTGAAAAAGTCCCTAGTTTCAGTTCTGCAGGTGATGCTGGAAATCTCCTAGCTCCAAGGCCATTTAGATCTTGTAAGAACAATATGGCTTTCGGGTATCTCTGCTACTAATGCATTATCATAACGTGTCTGTTTTGTGCAACCTTAAAACTACTGACAAAAAACCATCCTGACAACTGTCATGTTTATTATAATAATAATTTCTGTTACTGAACTTCATGTTGTACGAAAAATATCCTTTTTATATGTTATTAAGCAGGGCTTAATACTTGTGTTTTAACATTTCAAGCCAGCTCCTTTCTTCACCAATATAATTTGCTGAAAAGAGGCTGTTATTCACAGCCTATTCATAACTAGTGACCCCAGTTATATGTCACTCTCTACAACAGCATTCAGTTTGCATACCAATTCCTTATACATCAAGTATATTAAATGTCTGTTTCATTTCTTCCCCAATTTGTGCCAATTCACTCACAGCACACTTAATGTAAGACTGAAGCAGACATACAGCCTATATAAAATTTAAGACCATCCAGCAATTCATTTGCCACCTATTAGAAGACATGGTGACAGTCCGTTTCTTACTGGAGGAGAAACAAATGGAAATCATCAAAATTCAGAGTAAATTAATGATTTGGCATTAATTGTCAACTTGACCTGAAGTTGAACATTAGAAACAGCCTCAATTGTCTTCCTTCTTAAAACAAGTTAGATATCTCACTTTTTCCTTCTTTGTAAATTATATTTTTTTTAAATTATTTCATTATCTTATCATTCTAGACTTTGTTTTATACGCAGAACCAGAGAACTTTACTTTTCAGTTACATTCTATCCGTTTAAAAAATCCTACCTTTTTTTTGCATCTGACTGAAATTATTTTTCAGGGAGGTCTCCAAAACTGCTGGATTTTGATCCACTCCATGCTTTGGAGCAGCTGAACTAAGTGGTTTATGATGATATGCTAACACACATTCTGCATTACTAGGAGGCCACTCTGGAGTTGACGATGAAGATGAGTAAATACTTTCTACTCCAGGTAACAAATAAAGCTCTGGATGAAATGCCTGAAACAAACAGCATGTTAATTTTAATTTTTAAAAAAATCAGACATTTTAAAGTATACTCTTAAAAGAGATGCAGCCATATACATACATATGGAGGAGCAAATGATCTAAGTTTCAGTTCCATCTCTTGCTTTGCTTTTACCTTGTAATAAAAAGAGAGGTAACATTAAAAAAACCTGAAATGGGATTTGCACCAATAATGTTCAGTTTGTATATCATTCTACTTTTTAAAAAACAAACTTTAATTTAAAATTAACACTATAAAGAAAGAGAAAATAATATACAATCATAACCATAAGACCAAGCTCCATCTTATCAATACTCTTCAATCATTACAGGATCCAGTATAGAGAGCCAGTGTAGTGTAGCAGTCTAGGATCTGGGAGACCCAGGTTCAAATCCCCCACTTGACAAGCTTCCTGAATCCTGAGTGACCTTGGGCCACTTACATGCTCTCAGCCTAATCAACCTCAGGGGGTCGTTGTGAGGATAAAACAGAGGAGAGGAGAACAGGGTAAGCTGATTTTGGGGGAAATATGGAGCATAAATGAAGTAAGCAGAATAAACAAATCATTCTACTTTTGTACTACACAGGGGAAAATATTAAGCATTCATACCCCCCCCCCCCCAAGAATAGCTATGATTCAATGATTTGGGAAATGTAGAATACAACTATGGGATATTTTTCTTTTAAAATACTTTTTCTGCTTTTGTTGGCTTGCATTTACTAGTTAAGTCCACAGACGGAAGGGATTTATGTCTGCAGGGTAGAACTTCCTTGCCTCCCTGCTCCTTCTGCAGCCCAAAGCACCCTCTGAAATGCAACTTCTGCCAGAAAAAGCAACCCCCAGGACCATCAATGGGGCAGCCAGATGTCTGCTGCGGGAGGAAATTGTTAGAAATTGCTCCCCTTTCTGTTTGTCCACAGAAATCCTCAGTGAGATATGAGAGATTATTTGTATTAATTAATCACTGCTGATTTTATTAATTTTAATAGGGTGGATCCTATGAGATGCAAGTGCAAGGAAACTGTAGAAGCAGATATTTTCCACATTTTTTCCTTCCCATAATGACCTCTGAAAAGCTTGTGCTCAGGGTTGAATAAAATGCTTGTGAAGAAAATGCCATGTACCAATCCAATTTCTCCCCCTTACTGCAACCTGTACTGCATGGTATTTTGTCCACAAGGGTTTCCTGACCATCAGAATCTGTTTTTCATTAATCACAGTAGATTACTAGGGTAACATGACAGTGATGATATCCAACTCTGTAAGTTTCTCATGCTTGGAGTTTGGAGGATCTGGTACACGCTTTGATAGGCTTTCTTTACGAAGCTGCCGTATATCACTTTGATCTCCCCCCCCCCCCAAAAAAGATGCTTAATATAGCTTGGAAATAAATAAAATAAACACTATTTCTGATTTCTAAGGGGCTATTTATCAGATTAGTTACACTGTTCCAATTCATTATGTCAGTTAATACTTGGATTCATTTACATTATTACAGGTTAAATCAAAAGATAATATCATTCTTAAAAAAAGAAGAGACATTTTATAGTAAGGGACTTTAAAAAATTTATTTATCACATTTGACTCTTACATGAGGCAACTACATTCAACGAAAGCCTCCTTGACAGTGATATAATCTAGTGAGTAACAGCATTTAATTTATTCAGTTTAGCAAGCACAAAACAAAATGGAGGTGACACTCCTGCTTCATTATAATAATAACAATCGTAAATAAACTCGTTCATCCCCATTTGATGGTCATGTCTTTAATGCTAGTCATCAGAATAAGGACGCAGCATAGTTAAGCAGGAGCACAGTTTAATAAATCAAGCTCTGTCCCTGTGTGGAGCTGTAGTAACAGCAACTTCTCTTTTCTCTGTTCTTGCCCACACAAAGTCCTGGAGTGAACTATCGCAATCTAAAACAGTGGCTCAGATGAAAGAAACAGGCTTGTCACAAACAACACACGGGCTAGGGAGCCATTATATATGGAAGTATGCACAGAGTCTAGTCCCTAGCACCTCCAGTTAAAGGATCTTGGGTAGGTGCTGCCAGTGAGATGAAACGGTTTTTGCCAATATGGATCAGTACTCTAAGGAAGGCCCAGGTACATTTAAGAAAGTTTGCAACAGAACATCAGGCAGACTCTGTATATGCTGTCTGCACACAATCATTTTGCCCCTGGTGGATAAAGATACATATCTGAGCAGGCTGGCTTCCTTCCTCAAATATGAGAACAGGCTTAGACATCCTGACTGTGGCTGCCAAGTTAACTCCCCCACTTTGTTAATTAGATATTACAATTGTTGCTATAATGGGAAGAAACTTGAGATGCATCTGCACCACTCATTTGTCTAATGACTTTATTTAAAACCCAATTAATCGGAAGCAGACATTTCTTAAAGGTTAATTAGTTTCAGCACAGGCCCTTATGAAAACAGAGACACAGGAACACATGAAGCTGCCTTAGACTGAACCAGAACCTTGGTCCACCAAAGTTAGTACTGTCTTCTCAGATCAGCAGTGATTCTTCATGGTCTCCGGGTGAGGTCTTTCACATTCGCCCTAGGCTACCCCCCTGGTATACCCAGGGGTTGCGGCTTATGAAGTGAGAGCTAAGACGGCTAGAGAGACGGTGGCGCCGTGCTCGCGACGAGGCTACAAGAGCTGCTTATAGGACGTTTATGAGATCCTATGAGATGGCGATTCTCTGTGAAGAGAGAATTCTACGCAGCCAGGATTGCGTCTGCGAGCTCACGCCCAGCCCAATTATTTAGAATGATTTGGTCTTTAACAGTTCTACCACAGGGCAGACAAAATAGTAGGAAATTGGATATTGGCTGTGAGGCATTTGCGAGCTATTTCACGGATAAAGTCTTGGCGCTCCGCCGCGACCTCCCCACCACAATTGATACAGTTAGCGAACTGGAGGCCCCTTGCGCATCTTCGATTTCGGGTTTAGAGTGTTTTGACCGGCTCAGCCTGGAGGAAGTCAACAGACTGCTCATATCTGTGCACCCAACCCTGTGCGGCCTTGATCCGTGCCCCTCCAGGCTCATTAAAGCGGGCCACGAGGGGTTTCGAGGTGCCTTGCGGGAGATTATCAACAAGTCTCTCTCTGAGGGGTGGTTCCCCGAGGCACTCAAGGAAGCTATTGTCCGCCCTCTCCTGAAAAAACCAACTCCAAACCTGGCTGAATTGGCCAACTATCGGCCCTATTTGGGCAAATTGATTGAGAGGGCGGTGGCGACTCAGTTACAGGGCTTTCTGGATGATCCATTCCAGTCCGGCTTCCGTCCGGGTCACGGGACGGAGACAGTACTGGTCGCTCTTACTGACGACCTCTGGAGGCATCTGGATTGAGGCGGTATGGCAGCTCTGCTGTTGTTAGATTTGTCGGCCACGTTTGACACAGTTGACCACCAGCTGCTGACCCGTCGTCTTGCCGACGTGGGGATTCAGGGGCTTGCCCTTCATTGGCTTGCCTCTTTTCTCCAAAGCCAGGGACAGAGGGTGGTGCTCGGGGAACAGCAGTCCCAGAGGCACCCGCTTGGATGCGGTGTGCCTCAGGGGGCGGTGCTCTCCCCAATGTTGTTCAACAGCTATATGCGCCCCCTTGTCCAGATTGCCCAGAGGTATGGGCTTGGGTGTCATCAATAAGCGGATGACACCCAACTCTATCTGATGTTGGGCAGCCAGTCAGACTCTGACCCAGAAGATCTTCACTGGGCCTTGCAGGCCGTGGCCTGGTGACTCAGGCTGAGCTGGCTGCAACTAAACCCGGCGAAGACGGAGGTCCTGTGCCTGAGTCGGGCCGGTTCGGGGTTGGGGCTCCCTCTTCCGACCTTTGATGGGGCACCTTTGGTGCCAGCGTCAGAGGTTAGGAGTTTGGGAGTGCTCCTGGATCGCTCCCTAACTATGGAGGCCCAGGTAGTAGCCACTGCCGGATTGGCCTTGTACCATCTTTGGCTGATGCGGCAGTTGGTTCCTTTCCTCAACTGTGATGACATGGCTACAGTGATCTCTATTGGCAGCCATTTGGGGGTGGTATTCACCATCTCCTCTCAAAATTCCAAAGGTGCCTGCAGGCTCAAAGGTTGGGAACCCCTGCTCTACAAAGTTTACTTTAGTTCATTTATATACTCCCTTTCAACTAAAAGTCCCCAAGGCAGTTATTTTGGGCACCACAATTTAAGGATATAGACAAGCTGGAATGTGTCCAGAGGAGGGCAACAAAGATGGTGAGGGGTCCGGAGACCAAGTCCTATAGGGAAAGGTTGAAGGAGCCTGGAGAGGAGACGACTGAGAGGTGATATGATAACCATCTTCACGTTCTTGAAGGGCTGTCATATAGAGGATGGTGCAGAGTTGTTTTCTGTTGCCCCAGAAGGTTGGACCAGAACCAGTGGGTTGAAATTATATCAGAAGAGTTTTTGGCTAAACATTAGGAAGAACTTCCTGACAGTTAGAGCAGCTCCTCAGTGGAACAGGCTTCCTTGGGAGGTGGTAGGCTCTCCTTCTTTGGAGGTTTTTGAACAGAGGCTAGATGACCATCTGACATCAATGCTGATTCTGTGAACTTAGGCAGATCATGAGAGGGAGGGCAGTAAGGGTTGCCTCAGTGCTTAGTTCTTGTAGCCATTTCTTACATGGCCAGGGAAATGCTGCTCGCCACTTTGGAGTCAGGAAGCAATCTTTCTCCAGGCCAGTTTGGACAGGGATCCTGGAGGGTTTTGGGTTTGTTTGTTTTTTGCCATTTTCTGGGCATGGAACAGAGGTCACTGGGTGTGGGGAGGATGGTGGCACTGTGCATGCCAGATTTCTTTCATAATTAGGTTCTCCATTTCAATAGCTACAAAATAGTTGCTGGTTCCCCAGCACAAAAAGAAACATGTTTTATATAATCTGAGTACAGCTATGTTGTGCAACAGCAGAACTTGAAAACTCAGCAAATGTTTGCTTCCAGAGATATAATTATCAACAGTTGCTATGACCTCTAAAACTCTATGAACCAACTTCAGCATTTTCTATAAAGTAAGCTAGAAAGGGTGTGTATAACAACTGCGTAATGCTGCTTCGGGAACCATTCACAGTAGCCAGATATGCATATAATGTGGGCTTTCTACAAACTGTGGGAAAGAAACTTCCAGGGAAGGATGAAGGAATTTTTTTTTTTTTGGTCCGGAAGGGGAAATTAAAACGATGAGAAATTGTTTTTATATGTTGTAGAGCTCTACATTTCTTGTGGAATTCTCCAGGGGAGCCAGTGCAGTGTAATGGTTAAAATGTCAGAGTAGGATCTGGGAGACCTGAGTTCAAATTCCCTACTCAGCCATAAAACTTGCTTGGCAATTTGGGGCTTTCTCTTAGGGTAGCCTACCTCATAGGATAATTGTGAAGGCAAAATCATGCACACTGCCCTTTTCTCCTTGGAGGAAGGCAGGATAAAAGCAAGATAGCTATATAAATATGCCGTGATTCAAAATAATTATGAGGCAGATATCCACCTATATCCCACGCACTGTTTTTAAAAACTCCCTACCAAAAGTAAAATATGTTTGTGAGGCAGCTTGGGGCTTTGGCGAGCTGTCATTTGGGAGGATAAAACAAAAACCCTGTTAGGTACAAACAGGCTCTTGTCCCTGTGTAAAAAGATCTGCTGGATTACAGCTGTAAAATATATTATTCAAAAGTAAATTTATTTTTCAGTGTACATTACTCGGTCATGTAACTAGCCATTTTGAAATGGTGACAGCGTCCAGAAAAATATTCACATATTTGAAAGCCTATAAACATGAGCATACAGCTATTCTTTGTAAGCCATTTATAAAACTCAGCAGAAAACACAAAATTAACTCACCATTGCAAGTTTTCCCCCTATACATTTCAGAAAAGTATACTTATTCACAACTGCATCTTCACCTAGGTGCTCTCGAAGCTGTTCTCTCAGTGTTCTTAAGGTCATATGAGGGGACACCCTAAAATAACACATTAGATAACTGCATTTGAGGATGGATGAAAGGCAGAGTCTTTTCTGTAGTGGCATCTCACTTTTGGAACTCCCCCCTTACAGAAATTCATGACACCTACTCTCTTAAATTTTATGAATCAGATGTAAACTTTTTTTCTCTTGGGCAACCATTAGTTTATTTTTAGCTAGTGCTGATTTACATTTTGGAGGCTATGAAATCTTCTTGCTCTTTTCAGCATTTTAACTCATTGGTTACTGCCTTGTCAGTTCTGTTGGTTTCTTCCAAACTGTTAACTGAGGTTTTCTTTTAATACTTGTAATCTTTGCTGTGACCTGTTACAGGAACTTTGGTTGTGAGACAGTTTAACAATATTTTAAATAAATAAATATTTATACAAAGTAGTTGAATGGGATGCTGCAGAATCAGCATTATTTTTCACTTTTCACTTTGCTATTCTAGTATTGGACCTACTGAGTAATATTCACTTCTCACTAATGCAGTGAGAAGATAACAAAGAAGAAGAAAGTGTCTATTATGAAGAATGGTCTCCTTTGGCTGCACATTCCCTGTTAACACCCATTACTATAACTGCCAACCATGTTGACATGATATAAATGGAATGTTATCCATGCAATGAACTGCTATGTCCGAAGCCAGAGCTTAGTTTTTTCTCATTTCTGCTTTCCATACTTACAAACTAGCTTTAAGTGATTCCAAATTAGATTTTAATGTTTCCCATGTAACAACAATCTATTTTCTCAAAAACTAAATAAACATAGTCTTTGTAAATTAATTTTTCAAATTAACATTTTCAGATACACATTTATTTTATAACAAATAGAAACCTCAAACATGTATACTGCCAATTCATATGACTCATCCTATTCAGATACTGTTAACACTTAAGCTGAAGCAACTACCATAATTTCATGCTTAAGAAAGGGCAGTGCTAATAATTCTGATGTTCTAAGCAGTTGCTAAAGTCATTAAGACAGGGATTTTTTATTATAATTAATAATGCCAGTAATGAATTATACTAATATGGCATTAGTGGTTTCTGTGATCTATAGAGAACTGACTCCTAAAATTGTCTTTGACCTTGAAGCAGTAACTAGAGGAATGTTTCTTAACATAGTAGCTTGTTTAACTGAAACCTGTAGAGCTTACTATATTCAATTCATGAGTCACTGCTCTCTAGAAGTTCACTAGAAGTGAGCAGTGACTCACAAAACCTCATACCCTACCACAAATTTTGTTAGTCTTTAAGGTGCTTCTGGGCTCTTACTCTTTTCTACTGCTACAAACAGACTAACATGGCTACCATCTTGATCTCTCCACTGAAAACAGAACTGAAAATAATTTGATGATGATAAATCTATACACGCTGAAAGGTAATTTCATCAAAATATTCTATATCTATAAGAACAGTGCATTCTATAACCAAGAACATTTAGCATATCTATACAGTAGAGGGAAACTAGATTAACAGTCATTCCATGATCCCAGAAATTGCCGTTTTATGATTAGAGAGAAACTATGGATTTCAGTGCCTCATCAGACTGTAATTCCCAGGATTCTTGGGGGCAGGGGTCCCCATTGTGGTGCCCATGGCAACATGGTGCCCGCTGACACCTTTCTTAATGTTCTTTTAGTGGTGGCTGCTACCACAGTGTTGGTCTTATTCTCCTTCATTCCTATTTTTTTTTAAATACCCCTTTCTCCATTGCACTTGAGCTTCCTCCATCCGTGTGGCTCTGCCCCTGTTAACAGCCATTTTGTGGCTTCACTACTTTTGTTTTGGAAACAGTAATTGAGAAGCAGAAGCATTTTGTGGTTGGCTTCACCTCTTGCATCAGCCATTTTGTGGATGTGCCCACCACTCTGTGTCAGAATTCCAAAGGTGCCTATAGACTTGAAAAGATTGGGGACTCCAGGGGTTGGATCTCACAATCTTCTAAGCTGTCCCCTCCCTGCAGCAACCTTTTCCAATCTAGGGGAAGTTTATTCCCAAGATTGCAGGACCTGCACAGAGTACTAGTGATGTGAATCAGAAACTGAGAGGGGAGGGAGATGGGGGACTTAGGGTTGCCAGCTGCCTGAAGAAAAATGCACTGTCTCTTCAATAAAGGTTTACTGGGATGCCATTTACCTGGTGAGGTAAATGCCATGAAAAAGCTTCAGCTGCCCATTTCCACACATCTAGTGTCTTTTATGGGGGCAGAATTTTTTTTTGAAGGCCTGTTGCCAACCCTAGGCAAAATAGCTTTCTTCTGCTTCTTACAGAAGATCTGCCTCTTATAGGGATGCAGAAGCATGCCTGGAACTCCTGGGAGACTTTGGAGGCAAGGCATAGGAAAAAGGTCAGCATGAATATCACTTCCAGCTAAAACCAGGAAGTGACATCACTGATGCTCTAGGTTTTTGCCAATCTCTATGGTAAAAACCATACAGTCCTGTAAAACCCTACAGTAGAACAAAGTTTGACTCCAGTGGCACCTTGAAGATCAGCAAAGTTTTATTCAAGGTTAAGCTTTTGTGTGCATGCAGCTTTTTCAGATACATTGAAATGGAAGTTACCTACCCATACATATGAGCAGCAAAGTAGCATACAGCATATTAAAATTGTTTGACAGATGCAAGGACCAAACTGGAATAACAAGCTTAGTTTATATGGTCACCATTTGGTTGGGTTTAATTCCAGGGGGGAACATAGGGAAGGAAATAAATATATCAAAATAGGAGACTGATGGGCAAATGTACCTTTCTTAATTGTGGAATGGTGAGAGTAATTAACTGAGACCCTACTATCATACTCCATCCATCTTCTCTCAGGTATAGAAGTAACCTTACAGCATCCTCTTCTTTGAAGTGGGGCAATTGGCTGTTGAGTGTATCTTCTGTGTCCCCAGACCAGAGAAATACATTCTGACCTACCATTCCAAATTACATTACATTCTATTATCCATTACATTCCAATCTACTATTCCAATCTACTATTCCAAATAAGAACACAAATCTGACATCAAGAATCATAAGGCTGAGAAACCTGTAGGTGAACACTTCGGCCTTCCAGGGCATTCCATGGATGACCTTAAAATAGTTGGTTTTTTTTAATTGCAAAGGATCTTTAGCAACAGACTAGAAAGGGAAATGGCAGAGTTATTACAACATCAGAACAATGGAACCAGCAGGACTTAACAGTGATATTGGTTTTTTAACTCACTATATATGCTAACCTCATCCAGTCCTTACTAGGGATGTGCACTTTTTTTTAACCGGTATTTTTGGTTCAGGTTTATTGGACCTGGAAAAAACCATTTTTGGAAATCTTGATTGGGTGTGTGTGTGTCCAATAGACCTGAAAAGAAAAAAGGAGGGGAATAGTGGCAAAGCAAAAAAAAACAGCTGACAGGCAGAGCAGCCCCATGGGCTCAGCTGAACTTTGGGCTGGCTTCTCCTGCAGCCCCATTTAAACAAGTCTGCAGGAGAAGCCAGCCCAAAGCTGACCCGGTGGGAGCTTTCTACTTCCCACCAACTCAGCTCAGCTTTGGACTGGCTTCCTGTCAGCCTCATTTAAATTAAGCTGAGGGAGAAGCCAGCCCAAAGCTGACCCAGTGGGGAGCACTCTGCTTCCTGCTGCCTTAGATGATCCTCGGGCTGGCTTCTGCAGTCCCTTTAAACTTTAAAGAAATCCCAACACACAACGGAGAGGCGGGAGCGATGTGCTCCCGCCTCTCAGCTGTTTTTCGGATCTACTCTGAATATATCTGGGATTTTTTCAGGAATTTTTTTTCCAGTTTTCATGAAAAATCCTGGATATCTTTGGGATGTTGAAATACAACTGAAAAATACCAATAAGGTATTTTTTGGGTATATTTTTGGATCAGGTAGTTCCAAATGCACACCCCGTAGTCCTTACATCTGTTTCCCCAGAAACCACCCAGAAGAGCTATACATCCTCTTTATTTTCTTATTTGGAATAGGAGATAATAATGTAATGTACTGAATAGAAGAAGGTAATGCAATTTGGAATGGTATTGTACAGGAACGCCATCTTGTGTGGGGGTTTAACTTTCCGTGGGCTGGATAGCAGGAGACTATTAAACTTTAGGTAGGCCCAGGCAGGCCTAATCTCCTCCTCATTGTCACCCTCCCCTCCTGTCTCCAACCAGTAATCTGAGGGCAACTCCCTAGAAAGGAGAGGAAATCCATCAAGGTTATGAGGAGATCTGCCCTAGAATGCTGCAGAATGGAGAGCCAGATCCTGGGTGGGAACTGCAGTATATGTTATTGAGTTTTTGGTTGGCATTTGGAAGAGACAGAGGCAGGTATAGCCCAGCTTGCGGGCCAGACACAGTGGCCATTTTGGGGGTTATGTTATCCAGCTTACTGCATGCACACAAAAGCTTATACGTGAATAAAACTTTGTTGGTCTTAAAGGTGCCACTGGAGTCGAACTTTGTTCTGCTGCTTCAGACCAACATGGCTACCCACCTAAAACCCTATAGTGTTAGTGATGTCACTTCCTGTTTTTAGTTGGAAGTGACATTAATGCTGTCTGATATCCTCTACCCTATTTTCTATTGGCGCTCATTTGAGCACCAGTGGGGAATGGGAGTGAGTGGTTTGCTTGCTGAAATCAAACAAATGGCATCCCTAGTCACAGCTACCAACTCACCTAATATAGTACAGCAAGATTCGAGTCCAGTAGTACCTTAAAGACCAGCAAGATTGTCACTGTATAAGCTTTCAAGAGTCAAAGCTCCCTTTGCCAGTTATCTGACAAAGCGAGCTTTGACTGTCCAAAGACTTGACGCTTGAGATCTTGTTGGTCTTTATGGTGCTACTGGACTTTGAATCTTGCTCTTCTACTACAGACCAACACAGCTACTCACCTAAAATATAGTATAATCTGAACTGAGTCAATATGATTGTGAATGGAAGAGTAAAATTTATGAAACTGTTCCTCAGTCATTTTGGACCTGAATTCTAGGTTTCAAACCTACCATTTATTACTTTATTGCCAATACACTAAAGGCGCTAAGGTTCTTTGACTTGTGTGGCTAGCCAATAAACCACACAGTGAAAACAATCATCCAGGCAGTAAAGGGTAACAAAGGTATTTCTTTGAATAAAGGAGCACCTCACAGCTCGTGGGTGTTAAATTTCTTGCTCCTCCTCACTTTATATCGTCACTGACATCACTTAGACATGCTCAGTTCAGATTTCTTTGTCTGGCCAGTCATTAATCACATATTTGGCACACAGGATGTTAGTTGGCTGCATTTCCATTCCTACAATGCAGGTGCAGCTCTTTATTTTTGATTTGCAGTCTTGTTTATTCCTTTTGGCATTACTCCCAGACTCCTGTTACCTTTGACTGAACTTTCAGACTCAGTTCATTCTCAGTAATAAACACTGTCAGTTCTTGTCATCAAACATTAATACATGCATATAGAAGTATAACAGCACTTTTGAAACAGTCCTATAAGCTTATTTTCACTAACAAGTATACAAAATATGAAAACAATATCATTACAATGACATTCTAAAGCATTAAACTCCTTACATGAATTCTTTTAGTGTTTTAAAATAGCTTACGGCATTAAGCTCTTGTAGCTGCATTGAATCCATTTTTTTAGTTTTCATTTTGGTTTATCAAAATATTTTACAGAATATTTTTGGTTTTTTTATGAAGCTGCTTCTGTTAAAATAAAAGTTTATAATTTGTAAAACACACAGCTCAGTTCAGCCTATAGGAGACACTGTTCTACAATACAAATTCTGTACCTCCCAAATGACCCTTTTTAATTGATGCTAAGAGTCATGATTAATGACTTTGGTTCTTGGCTAAACTTACACACACCTGGTAGCAGCTGAGTACTCCTTAAAACTTCACAGCACCCATTTCGGAACGTCTCCCCTCGTTAGTTTCTTTACTATGTCAGCTGGGTCATTTGTACACCTGCTTGTGTACAATGATCTCTCTTCCAGCAAACAGTCTTTTTGTAACTTAAACTTAACAACTTTCTATAGCAGAATAAAGAATAGTTGTTTTTACAGATACCTTATACATTAACTTGTCTTAAACATAACATAAAATTCTAAAACCCAAGCAATTATATCAAGAGAAAGGATTTCTCTGTTACAATATATAGCTATCCTTTTGACCTAGTTAGGCTCTTCTCTAAAAAGTACAAGATAGAACAATAACTCTTAGAATTGGCAATGGTTTTTTCCAATTAGAATTGCCCACATACACCTGTTCAATTCATTAAGCACAACTTTCTGTTATTCCAGTTAAAATAATAAGCAAACAGGCAAACATACACACACATATAGACATTGCTAGAATATCCAAACTTAGAGAGTAAACACGATTGGTGCTTTTCTCATTCAGAGTTGCTTTAGACAAAGCAAAAGCTGCTTCTAAACTTTTCACCTCTTATTCAGCTGGCAAATCCGTGCCAGGTCAACTTGACCCATTACTTTGAAGTAGCAGGATTCTGTAATAAATCTCGGACACTTGACAGGTCCTAATGAAAAATTGGCTGAGAAGACAGAACACCTGCAATAATTTCCCAATTAAAAGGTTACATCACAAACACTCCCTTTTTCTTTGAAACAAGGGCTAGAGAAACATGTTGAAATCACTTGGCGTCATACAGTACAGACAATGCTCAGGATGTTAATCCTCCAGGAGAATCCCAAAGAATTTCTCCCAAAGGGTTCTTTAGAACAGCAATAATCAATAAAAAAATCATTTGAACACTTGGTGCTTCCTACAACGTCAATACAATTCACCTTATAAATCCAGCTGAAGAGAATTTGCTAGTAGCATCCACTGAGACTGTATTCAACTTGAAGTTCCAAACTTCTTCCGGAACATAAAAAACATGGAGTTCTAAAAGCTAAATGTGTAGAAAGAAAACTAGTCAAAAATCTTACATTCAGCTGGCATTGTCCACCAAAATATATTTTGTAGCTTTTTAAAAAAAAATAAAAAACTTGCCTCTTGCAACAAAATTACTGTCTTTTTAATTACTGTTTTCTCTTCTGCAATGACAAAAGTTCTGACAGAGTAACAAAACAATTATACATGGGTTTCCCAAAACAGGCCAAATAGCACCCCCACCCCAGGGCTGTTTCAGGTTAGAAAAATGATACCCAGCTGCCATGGTAAGATTCAAATTGTAAACTGTGGAGAACCTGTATCTCATGTCTGACTGTTACACAGCCTCAGACTGAATCCTAGTTGGAAACTGGATTGAAATGGATCTAGACAATTTGTATAACCCAGACATTTCTGCAGCCAATTCAGCTCTATTTGTTAGAAAAGGGAGACTGGATACCATAACTCAAAGGGGTGTGGGGCAGGTTTCTATGGAACACTGTACTCACTCAATGAGGGATTGTATTCAACCAAAGTGTTTTCACCTTCTCTGAGATTTTTTAATGCTAGCCATGTTAGATGATACATTGATGCGTACAGATCCATTTAACCCATCCACATCCATAAATGCAATGGATTGAATGGAATACCCAGGTTCTTATTTAGGAAATCCCGATATATTATCTCCCCCAACCCCATTCCCCTCTGTAGCACAACTATGCAACACCACTGAGCTCTGGGGCAAGATGACTATATTTCTGGACTCTAGTGCTGGACTGCAACAGTCTTAACGCTATAGTGTGCAACTTACTTTAGATACTGAGGTTTGGGGCTAGGGGATAAGGAAGCTGCTCATCTAGCATTGAATGGAAAAGTACAACACAGGAGGGAGTATGCATTTTATCTCCCCCTCCTTTGTTGCATCCCTTAAGTTCAACCTCCATTCCTGGACAAGAGCTCTACACCGTTCACAGTGTAAAAGGTTCTTGAGCTATGTGATTAACCAGGATTGGAGGAAGTGTTTTTCCTCCTGTTCTAATTTGTCTTTCCATCAAGACTCTTTTAGCTTTAAATTATTTTTAAAAGTATGTTGGAACCACATATCTGCCAAACAATATGTACAAAGCTGGATACAACACCCTGTATCTAGATATAATGAAATATCTCACAATGAATGGTCCCTGAACTAGAGAAATAGTAAAATTGTATGAGTAGGTTCTGCACATGCATCTCTTAGATTCTCAAGAGGACTCTATTTTCAGAGATAAAAGTAAAGGTTCCCTTGCTCAAAAACCAGTCAAATCCGACTCTAGGGTTGCGGTGCTCATCTCTGTTTCAAAGCCGAAGAGCCAGCGCTGTCCGAAGACATTTCCGTGGTCATGTGGCCGGCATGACTAAACATCAAGGCACGTGGAACGCTGTTACCTTCCCACTGAAGTGGTCCCTATTTATCTACTTGCAATTTCTTGCTTTTGAACTGCTAGGTTGGCAGGAGCTGGAACTAGAGATGGGAGCGCACTCCGTCATGCGGCACTAGGGTCTCGAACTGCTGATTACCGACCTTCCACAGCCTGCAGTTCAGCGTCTTAACCACTTGAGCCACCGCAGCTCCTAGATTTTCAGAGATATGTTTCACCAATTTGGGCTGAGACACTGTGCTCATGTTGGAGGAAACTGCTGTTGGCTATGCCTTAATATAGACATTAATCTTGTTTGAACTGCTGTAATGTGTTTGTATATAGGATTTACACTTGAAAATAGTTCAGAATCTTTGGTTGATACAGAACATAGCAACAAGACTAGTTGCTGGTAACAGCTGCTGGGAGTGTATGGCACAAACTCTTAAAGAACTTAAAGAACTTGACTACTTGCCAGTAATTCTAGGCTAAATTTGAGGAAGTTGGTTCTTTCCTTTAAGGTCCTAGGCTGCATAGTTCAGGGGTGTCAGAAGGGGAAGTGGAAGAAGAAGGAGAAGAAGAGAAAGAGGAGGAGGAGGAAGAGTTGGAGTCTAAGAGTTGCTTGGAGTCTAAGAGCGATTTATAATCTCCTTTCCCCTCCCCACAACAGACACCCTGTGAGGTAGGTGGGGCTGAGAAAGCTCTGAGAGAACTGCTCATCAGAGAACAGTTTCTTCTTCTTCTTCTTCTTCTGTTCCTCCTAGCAGTCCTTTCTGACCCTGGAAAAGTTGATTCCCAGGGGTTGTGGACCTGCACAGACTCATAGCTATGTGGATGGGTAGGGGCTAGGGTTGCCAGCTCTGGGTTGGGAATTACCTGGAGGTTTGGGGGATGGAGCCTCACTTGGGGGGGGGTGGTGTGGGGGGGGGGGGCTCAGCAGGGTATAATGCCAAAGCAGCCATTTTCTCCAGGGGACCTGATCTTGATAATCTGGAGATCAGTTGTAATAGCCAGAGATCTCCAGGTGCCACCGAGTGGGGGCTACCCTGTGGAGAGGGAAAGGTGTGAAATTGTCCTCTCTTTTCTCTTTCCTCAACACTGATGGAAGAAGTAGGAGGGGAAATTTTGTTATGGAGGATAACATTTGCTTTGTTTCCTAATTGTACTCACTTCACTCTAGACTAGATTGTCTACAACTTCTGGCCTTATCTGTTTCCCTCTAAGCTGTGGAGTCTTGTGAGCAAAAATTCTACTTTGTGAGCTACTGGCATTAAAGTTGTGAGTGAATGATTTGGCTGCTGCATAGGTTAGCTTGCTCTGGAGCCATCCCTTCCTGAGCTAAGACAAAAGTTTGTGAGCCAGAGGCTAAAAAACTGAGCTAGCTCACACTAACTCAGCTTAGAGGGAACAGTACTTGCAAGGGAAATGTCTGTAATTGTAAAAGAAAAAAATAGATTTGTCCCCTATAACAAAGCCCCCACTATATTTATACAGTTAATCTCCCAATGCTGGATCAATCCCATGGCAAGAAAAAAGAAGCTCCTTCCATTGCTCCAAAGAAATAACAGTCTGTACAGTCTGTCAGAGACGGGGAAGTGTTATCAATGCAACGAACATGAAATTAAGCAAGCTCCGGAGCATGACAGAAGACAGGAGGGCCTGGTGTGATGTGGTTCATGGGGTCGTGAAGAGTTGGACTCGACTGTGCGACTGAACAACAACAATACATAACCTGAAACATTCCTTCTTTTCTTGTGAAATTAAAAAAAACCCTTCTGTTGCTAACAGCATTGTAATTCTATTAAGCATAAGGAAATAATGCAAGCACTCATGTGCCCAGCTACCAGCTGTTGCAAACATATCTACTCAATAGACTCGGAGTAAGGAACTGTAACCTCTGCCTATGGTTAAAATTGTGATAGACAAATAACATGAATGATACTTCAGCTTCCATTGTTGCTGTTCCTGGTGGAGGGGGACTAGTGTTGGCAACATAACTATACCTATCCAACATAAATATATTACAGTAAAGCCTTCAAATATTTTAACTCCTACTGCAGACAATAAAATATATGAGTATGTGGAGAAAAATTAAAGATTCTCTTTATATAGTAAGTACTATTATTCATCAATCAACAACAGAAAATACTGCAAGATAGTACATATTCAGTTTTAAAATAACACACTTTTTCTGAAATTAGTTCTCACCTCTGATGTGGGAGGTCTGAACTGACTGGATGGCATATTCCTAGATGTCCTTTCTGACTCACAGTGGACTCTCGATGACTTTTTTTAAACCTTATTTTTTTAGCCAACCATTTTTAACAAAAGAAGGAAAAATCCTGTGTTTCAGAGGCAGTATTTAATTCATTTCATAATACGTCTGTGTTCTTCAAATGCTGGTTGTTGTTTTTAAAAAAGAAAATTTTAGGATAGCCTAAGACTTTGTTTCTAGCTAGCCTGAAAGACTCCAAATGTTGGCTGATCCACCCTTTGACGTGAACACTCCCTCTATACAAGTAAATATCACCTAAGTAACCAAGTGAATTGTGTAATCTGGACAATGTAACTGAGAATTGCTTTAGTAATCAAAGAACGGTTTTATACACGCCACTTTTTCTACAGGGCAATAATGTTCATGTAGGATTTAAACAAGTGTCACCTGAGAAATGCAATGTGAACTAAGACACAACATACACCAGGAATCCTTGTAGGAAACCTCTGTGAGTGGCTATTCCAATTACTGGGATGGATTTAAATTTTAAAGGAAATGGATACAGGACTACCATATAAATCCTACAGAGATAATGTTCAAACACATTATGTGAAACTAAGGTAGGATTACCACATTTTGAAAAGCAAAATAGAGGGCATATTTCCCAACTGACTACTTCAAACTAGTGATCACTATGACAAATCTCATTTTAAATACCCCTACTACCAACTAGGAATATTCCTAAACTTCGAATCCAAAAAGAGAACATTTTCACCAGTTTTTTAACAAGAGCCCAAAAGAGGATGGACACACACAAAAAAGAGGACATCTGGTCACCCTAAACTAAGGTCCACTTACTGCTAACTTTGGTGGTTTGTAGATCATCTTGTCAATATGTTTGAACACCCTGAGACCTTCATTTGCAATGATGAGGACTGGGGCGAGACCCCCCCCCCCCAGCACAGCTCACACTGCACAAATTGCACATTATAGGTCATGAACACCTCATGTACAAAACAGGGTGAACCAGGTGATTTCATGTACAAGTCAACACAAAACATATCTGATGTGTGCAATGCTTCCATAACTCTGGGAAAGGAAAAATTAAATACCCAAGGTATGTATTTATTTATTTAAAACAGTTCATACTGTCGTTCCACAAAGTTCAAGGTCCCCAAGGCCTGTATCACTGACATAGCACAAGATATCTTTCATGTTGCCCATACCAAATACAGGTTCCCACCACACAAAGAACAGTATTGCGGGGAGAATGAATGTGGGCATCAAAACCTAAAGGCTTTATTACCTTTGGAAGTTTTGCTGCTTTATTCTGTTCCAAACTCTTCCACTTTAAACACGCTGGTTGAAAAATAGACTGTAAATCTTAAATTGATTCACAAAGACATGACATATGCTGCCTCTCAAGGCAGTTGCCTGCCCACTGCCCTTTCATTACTGGAGAGTTTCCCCCCCTTAAATAAATATATAAACTAAGTTCTAAAGCTGGCTACTCTACTTGACTATTCTGTTTCATGCCCTGCACCCTCAGCACAGTGCATCATTGGGTACAATTTTGTTGATTCAGTATGACGGATTTATAGCTGTATCTCATAATTACAATAAATAGAATTGTCATTATTTTGTATTTTTGTATTCTTGAGCCTTAAACAGCAGCCCAGCAAACAGAACTGTAACAGACAACCCTTCTCTTTATATTCCACGTACCAGGCTCGTATTCAATGCATCTGAACGGAACAAAGAAGGCGATACCTACCAAAAGATGACTAAGCTCATATGTACTCAAAAGCAAGCTTAACACGTTGCGGTGGTTACTTTAAAATAAGTCTCTCACTGAACTAAGTTGAACTTAGTCCCGGGTAAACATGCGTAGGATTAAGTTGGATGGCAGTAAACCAAAATAAAACTAGTAGCGACCAGAATGCAGGCATGGACGTCAGCTTACATGTATCATACATCATTTGCTACTACTTTCAATGAAGCCTCAAAACCAGTTTTGGAACGGAACTCCCACTGGTGCTGGAACATTTGGTAAGAGAAAGAACCAAGACCCAAAACGAAGGAGCAGGTTATGTCTTCCTTGGTCAACAGGAGTGGGAAAGCGCACAGAAGCCTGAATAATCAAATTGGACAAATTTGAGTATCAAGTTCCCTTTCTCTCTTAAAATAAATAAATAAAAAAGGTGGGGGGTGAGGGAGAGGATATTTCATAAATGTTAGAGAAGGGAAGCGTTTCTACAGCAATCGCCTCTCCAGGTCACTCTGAGACAAACTTTATATGGGATTTCCAGGAGGGGAAAGCCGTCCCTCCAGCAGATGGGATTCCTGGTTTTCCCCAAAGGCCAACAGTGTTTCCCACAGAATGAAAAACACTAGCTGTCCCTCCTCCCTGAAACCCTGGCGTCCTTTCCCCCCTCGCTCTATCGACGGGAGAGCTCGTTGCGCAGGCGCCGACAGGAGACTTCGCAAAGCGCCGGAAACTTCGTGGAAAGTTTACGGGAAGCCTTCCTCAGGAGTCTATCGCTGTTGTCATCTCGGCAACGACCCTTCCCCGACAAAAAGGCCATGTCCGGCTCTTCCAGCGTCGTGGCCATGAAAAAAGTGGTGCAGCAGCTGCGCCTGGAGGCCAGCGTGAGCCGCGTGAAGGTGAGAGCGAGCGAGCGAGCGGAAGAGGATGGGGCCCTGGGTGCCTTGGCCGCCATTACGCCGCCTCGGGGGAGCACTTAAGTTGGCCTCTCCGGACTGATGTCAGGGGTTGTATGTTGCTTTGTGCAAGTGGAGAGTGACGGAGTCACTTCGAGCCATGTGCAGAGTGTCTTTCCACCCTCGCCAGCACTATGCAGCCGCTCTGCCCGTTATACGTTGCCCGGGAGGGGGTGGCAAGCGGCGGTGTGCGTCCACCCAAAACCGACGCTTCGTATTGTTTCCCTTTAAGAATGGTTTGTGGACACGGCTTGGGTCGCTGTCCTTTCTGCAACTGAGGACATGGCTGACCGGGCCAGGCAGGGAGAGAATACATAAGAGGAGACCTCTGGCAACCCAGCTCGGGAGTCCGCCCTGGCCACAAAATAGGGAAGTATGTCAGTCCCGAAGAAGAAAGACCGCCGAGCAGAGTTGACAAAGGCAGTTCCGAGTTAAACGAGCCGGGCCAGTACTTTGTTCTCCGCTATAAGGCGGGAGAATTGTAGCCCTAGAAATACCGTGTTTTCCCTTAAAACGCCTGTCAGGCACTATTTAGTAATTCTTACATGGAAGGGAGATGAGTGATAACAACCGACTGCCTAGAGACGCTTAGTGAGGCTAGGCTTAGAACCAGAAACCTTCAACATTCATAGCACATAAACCATCACTATCCCCTTGTGTGCCTAAAGTTTTTTTTAGCTTCAGGAAGAGGGTTGCTAGGGAGCTAAAGTGCACCTTAACCCAAAAAGTAACATTACAGAAATAGTATGATCAAGCCAAGTGCTTTTTAAAGTATGTTTTTTTTAAAGTGGCAACTATATTAATTACAGGAACTGCATGGGATTGTTTCCACATACTGTGCTTTACAAAAGGTGATACCCCTCTCCGTCTTTGAAAACATGTGGAGGTTTTTCTCAATTAGGACTGGCATTCCAGAGACCTTTTAAAATTATGTATGCATAATTCTGAGCCGCACCAAAGTTGAGACGCTGGGCGAGATCCCATGGATCCCAAGCCGCGGCGCTGTCGCTCCCCGGCACGATCAGATGCCGGGGAGAAAGTGACGGTGGGAAAGGGAGGCTGGCGAACTGCGCATGCTCACACATGCGCAGTTCGGCCAGGAGCCGGGGATGCGCTGGTGCAAGGACGCACCAGCGATCCCACGGCCGCACTTGCCGCGGCCCTTCAGGATGAACCACCCAGGTAGGTGGTTCTTTTTTGGTGCGGGGTTTTGGCCGGGAGGGGCGGATTGGGAACGGGCACAGCACGATTCCCAGATGTTGCTGTGGGATCGCGCTCGTTTGCTGCGGCCCCGATCCATCCCTCTCCCGGCCCAAAACCTCTCGTGCGAACAGGGCCATAGTAAGGTTTCCTTCTCTGAAGTGGCAGAAGCTTGAGTACCAGTAAAGCTACTGCTGTAAGCAAAGGCATAAAGTACCTCCTATCTGACAGTGTGGCAACCATATTGTAGACTGTCGAACATTTTGGGAATAGCAATTTAATAAGCTACCATCTGTTGTCCAGGGGCTCATTGAAGACTGTTAGCTTAGATAGAGTGTTGTTGTGTTTCAAGCAGCTTCAATTCTCTGTTCATATAATATGAACAGCAGAGCTGCATTTTAAATCTCTCACAGGAACATAGTTCCCCTGGAGTCCTTTCTCAGAGAAGGGGTGTGCATGTTTCTGATTTTCTTTTTATTTAATACATTTAAACCCCACTTTTCTCTCCAATTGGGACCCAAAGTGGCTTATATTATTTAATCGTTTTATCCTCACAAAAACCCTGTGAGGTAGGTTAAGCTGAAAGAGTATGACTGGTCTATGGTCACACAGCAAGCTTCCATGGCACTATTGGGTCTCTTTTACTGTCTAGTCAAACTGACTATTTTACTAGGAATGTGGATTTCTTCTGTTTTAGGTTTCCCAAGCTGCAGCTGACTTAAAGCAGTTCTGTCTGCAGAATGTACATCACGATCCCCTGTTAACAGGCGTTTCTTCAAGCACAAATCCATTTAGACCTCCAAAAGTGTGTTCCTTTCTCTAACAATATTGTTCATGGTAAGTTTTTTCCTGTTCTAAACCAAATTGCATGATTTGAGTTCTCCTAAACTACCCCTTGTCTTATGAAATGAGCAGTTCATAGGACGTTCCTACCCTGTGCATGCCTTCCTGCTGCATTCAGTATGATGGGATTCTCTTAGACATAATTTTAGTTTATTTTACCTTTGTTTATAACTTAAAGAGAAGTCAGTATCATTAATTCATAGATCATCTGTCATGATTTAACTTGTAGATTTGAAGAATTTTCTGCAAATGCTGACCTGTATTCACACAGTAGTCACACGATCACAAGAAGTTAAGATTAATAATGCTAGAAAAGGTTTACAGCAGTAATGTCAGTTAACTTCTTTAAATCTGAAGCAACAATGCCTCTTGTAGAGATTTGGGTTTTAATTATAAATATATAAATATCCCAAACCAATTAATGTAGCATATGAACTCTGGTAAGATTCTCATATATAGTGTACACTTAAGATTTGTTTTCAAGGAAAATATGCTTATAGTCACCAGTCACTTTTGTCTGTTTTTCCAGATCTTCTAACAACTTTTCATATATGTGTGTATGGTGAATATGGAAACCAAGGAGAGTGGATTGGAACCTGTACAGGAAATTTCACCTTAATGTGCCAACTTAGTGCTAGTAATACTGTTACTGTTGTCAAACCTACTACAATCTACCTCTGTGAACAAACTATGTTAGTTGGAATAACTTCTGTATCATGAGGAAATCAGTTTTATATTCAGCAATAAAGAGTTAATGATTTTGAATTTTAGTAGAAAACTTGAAAAGTGGTTAAAGAATCACGATTCACACCTCAGTTAGTTTTCCAGTAAGGTCCAGCTCATTTTCATTTCAATGAACTTAAACATATCTACCCCTACAAACAGTTTGAGGAAACGGCACCTTTAAAAATATCAGTATTTGCAATAATACTCATTTCACTGGTATAAGTTCTTTTATATAAAAGAACAAAGCTGGATCCAACCCTACCCCATAATCTAATCATAGCAACCAGTTAACAAAACAGCTAGGCATTATCCTGTACTTCTTGCGAAAGTTGTATTCAAATACGTTTTCGTGGTCAAATGGCCAGCAGTGGCGGGCTCCCCTTCTTTGGAGGTTTTCAGACAGAGGCTAGATGGCCGTCTGGCAGCAATGCTGATTGTGTGAACTTAGGCAGAACACGAGGAGGGCAGGAAGAGTTGCCTCAGTGCTTAGTTCTTGTGGCCCTTTCTTACATGTCCAGGGAAATGCTGATTGTCACTTTGGGATGAGGAAGCAATTTTTCTCCAGGCCAGTTTGGCCAGGGATCCTGGAGGGGGGAGGTATTTGTGAATTTCCTGCATTGTCTAGGGGGTTGGACTAGATGACCCTGGAGATCCCTTCCAACTCTATGTATAACTGTTCATCTGCCCTTATTGCTTATTTAATGTTTATTTTCTTATCTATAGCAAGCTTTCAGTCAAAAGCTGTAACAATGGAATTACTAGCTAGTTTTTACTCATTAAGTACATTAACCACAGGGATGCAATTATTCATTTAGAGTCAAAGCCAGGTTTGTAAGAAACTAAAATCCTCCACATTTGTATTCTTCTCTGTACTAATCATTCTGCATTTCATAAAAGTTACCTGTATCTGGCTTTCCTGACTACTTATATGAAATAGCTGTTAAGTATCTTGACACACAAGAGAAGTCAAACAACTGAAGGGGATACAGATCATTGTAACTCTTAAAATGTACTTCCAATGGAACCACACACACACACACACACCCTCGAGATCAGTCTGGGAGAGAAAAAACTCACTTCACACGGTTTATTCTTCCAACGTAATTTGATATTTTTTTCAACTTAATTTGATCAGGTTCAATTACAACCTACAGAAGCACAATTCTAGTTGTGACTGTCCACTTCAGAGGTAAAGTACAGTAAACAACTGTGTTAAATTATTATAAGCTGTTGTGCCATCTCTGAGAATTCCTAAGCCAAGGAGTGAGGACAAATTCCTAGCAGATAATGGAGTTGGTTACCACTGAAACATACAGTAAGATCTGCCATCTGTAAATAATAGCATGTGTAGGGCTGTAGTCCAGTTTAACTGTTCATCCATACAGGGCCGTTTTCTGCTGAAATTTTATTGCACCATAAGAGCAGGCTGACAATACCCACTCAGGTTCTATGTCTTTGGCAGTTCACCAGAAATTGAACAGCTGCTCCATGTTTCCCATGTCCTGCTGTAGATGCTTTTATAGATGGAATTTTCTTCTACTTGTGTCCATTTCATGGCGCTGAAAAATAAAGGAAGCAAATATTATACTGTAAAAGAGCACCACTTTAATGTTAATATGCCCAAGTTTTTATTACCAGATTCATTATCTAGAATGTTTGATTAAGGGAAACTGGTTAGAACCAAGCTAGTAACTGAGAACTGTTACACATTTAAGCTCATCCAGGTGTGTATATACAAACTGACTTCTGCTGTTTATGAAGTAATTATTTTACTACCATGTTTCCCCGAAAATAAGACACTGTCTTATATTTATTTTTTCTCAAGAAGACACACTAGGGCTTATACCACAAATGCATAGAAATCCTGCTAGGGCTTATTTTTGGGGTAGGTCTTATTTTTGGGGAAACAGGGTATGTATGTGCTTAGTTTACTTCTCAGTGCAGCAGATGAGAGCCAGTGTGGAACAGCAGTTGAAAGACAAGGATCTGGATGTCCAGATTCAAATCCTTACTCTGCCGTGAAGCATGCTGGGTGACCTTGGGTCAGTCACACTCAGTCTAACCTTCCTCACAGGGTTGTTGTGAAAATAGGACAAGATAAAAATGCTCTAGATTGAGTAGCTACTAAATTGGCCTAGATTTGATTATTGGGTAGATTGGCCCTTTCCTAAAATGACAGAAGCGCTTCAATCTCTCTGACAGCTAATTAGTATGTTACCGTGAAGAGCACAGGCCAAGACAGTACAAGTTATTTTAGGTATATTGGTGTGTGCAGAGGCCACCATAAATAGCAGTCAGTATCATCTCTGGAAACATGAGCTAACAGCATAATTCTAGTAACTTTCAACTGCATAGTTTGTGAATAAGTGTCATCATAACCATTCTAAAGCAATATAAGCAAGTAGATATAGTCTAGAAATGAATTTCAACAATTATATATGCAGAGATCAAATGTTTAGTAGTAGCGTGCAAGAAATTTCAGTATTCTGCAGAGTTTAGTGAAGTATCTACTGTACACCTCAGTGCAGCCAAATTTTTATATATCTACAGACGTTTGCTCTGCTAAAAGATTGTAAAAATATAATACCTTGTGAATCCATTCATATTCTCCAAACTTTGAATCAAATGTTCCTTTTTGAAGTGACCTCAGTTTTAGAGTAAAACGTGGGCCAAGTTCTTGAATTGCTACTTTTTTCTCATTTTTAAAGATGTATCTTTGAAAGAAGATGAGCAAAATTAGTGAAGACATTAGCTGATTAAAATGGCAGGAGTGGCATACGGTTTAAAATACTCACCTGTGAAATCTAAAGAAGATATAGTCCCTCTGATTGTGAAATGTTGCCACCTGTCTACCAACAAACTGAGGATCATGAGGGAAGAGAGAAGCAAACATACGACCAATAGAATGTCCTAATCGTGTTGTAAAGTTGTTCAGAATTACTTCAGGCTGGTGTTCTGTGGGAGCTTTTCCTTTTCGCTAGAATAAATGAAAAAAAATGTTGCCTTAAATATTTAAAATA